CAGAAAAAAATGAAGTATTCCCTCAACCAGCTGGTGGGTGTGCAGTTAGTTGTGTGACCAGGTTAAAGCAGTGTCCCTGGAGCCGTTTACTGTGACAGTGATCTGCCTTGCATTATGCAAAAGGCCTCTGATTGATGACCTGGATAAATCTGAATGTGTGTTTTAGAAATCTTATGGTAGGTCTATTAGTAAAGACTAGATTCTTGATGATCATACATTTTGGATTTTCCAAATCTTTCAGAGCACAGTCGTGAGGCAGGTTTAGTGTGTGGGTGCCCGCTGGTTTCATTCACCAGAAAGCAGAGCAGTGAGAGAGAAGGAGAGGAAAGGGATCCTCACCACACCCAAGCCAGGTCCCAGTAGAGGCCAGAATCTGCGGGTGACTCAGATTCCCTGGAAAGGGGGAGAAGCTCCTGGGGCCCCAGTGGATGAAGCACAGGGCAGCCCTGGATGTGCTGACAAGCCCAGTGCCCAACCAGGGCCGTCGGTAGGCAGAGGAATTACGCCCGTGCTAGGAGGGGCCTTGGGGGTCACCAGGTCCAAGCCACCCCCCTTTGCAGATGAGAAAACTGAGCTCCAAAGAGGGGCGGTGCTCACCCAGGGTCACCCAGCAAGTTGGTGGCAGAGAGACCAAGCGTTTCCTTCTAAGCAAACAAAAGCAACGAGATGAGTCCAGAGATGTGCTCCCCTTTCTGTTAGGTGGTTGTGGGACGCTGCTGAAATGTCCCTTTCTTACCTCAAGAATGATGTTCCCTCTCAAACAATTAACACCCGCATGCTAACCTTTTGCCACCGCTGCCTCTTCAAACCCAGAGGAGTTGAGAGTTCCGGGCCAGCAGAGGGAGGTTCCGGAGAGGCCCCTGGCCGCTGGGCTTAGCTGTCAAGTCCAGCCTGGACACAGCAGAGATGCTTCTGGGGTCTCAGTGCCACCTCTCGGGGAGGAACCGCCAGAAGCCCCCGTCCCAGGGAGGGCTCGCCTTCCTCAGCATCCTCCCGTCTGCCCGGCGCCTGCTCCAACTGGAGGCCCTCGGGAGTCCCCCCAGGAGTGGGGACCAAAGCGTGGGGGCTGGGCCATGGAGGGTCCGGCCTTTGTGCAGCCCGTCTCCCCTGGATACGTCCACGCCGAGACTGAGAGTTTCAAGGCTGTTCAGGAAAGCTTCCTCGGGGAGCCAGGGAGTCGTGCAGGCGAGGCCTCAGCCCCAGAGATCCTGGATCTGAGCCACCGGTCCATGAGCGACATGCCTAAAGGCCCCAGAGAGGCCACACCTCAGCTTTTGGGGACAGGACCTGAGGACACAGAAGGAAGCCACCGCAGCTCTGAGCTGCTTAAGCACCAACTTTGGAGAGAGCTACACCAGGAGGGGCCACCTCTGAAGGGGCACCAGGGCAAAGAGAGCCTGGGGGGGAAAGAGGAGGTCGACGAAGACCGCGACATCGACGAGTCCTCACCTCAAGACTCCCCTGCCTCCCAGATCTCCCCAGCCCGAGGTGGGCCTGCCCCCCAGACAGTCTCCAGAGAAGCCACTGGCATCCCTGGCTTCCCAGCTGAGGGTGCCATCCCCCTCCCTGTCGATTTCCTCTCCAAAGTTTCTGCAGAGACCCAGGCCTCGGAGTGCCACGGGCCCCGCGCAAGGCCGCCGCTGGAAGGACAGGACGCTGTCCCCGAGTTCACATTCCACGTGGAGATCAAAGCCAACGTGCAGAAGGAGCGGGCACATTCGGAGGTGGATTTGCTAGGGACTGCGCTGCTGGGGGCCCCTGGAGAGGAGCAGGAGGCCCAAGGCCCCTTGGTGGGAGAGGACACGAAAGAGGCTGACCTTCCAGAACCATCTGAGAAGCAGCCTGCAGCTGGTCTGCAGGGGAGACCCATCAGCCGAGTCCCTCAACTCAAAGGTCTGTGTCTCGAGCTCCCTCGCTCCCTCCCCAGTGACCTCCTGAGCCACCCAGGCTGTGGGCACTGCCCCCTTGACTCCTGCGCTTCTGAGCTCCTGGGACAGCCACTAAACCGACCAGCGGCCGTGCCCTCCCTCAGCCTCCTCCTACCCCTCGGGCTGCAGTGGCTCCCACTCCACGCACGCTTTTGCCACTTTGCATGTCACCGACACCCACCCAGCTTTCTGCCCTCTTCCACTCTCCGCCACTGGATTTATCCGCAGTGCCCACAGGAGGTTGGTGGGCACACGCCACCGAGGGGAAAACAGCTGTCCCCGCTTCTGAGGGCTGACGATGTGCCTTAGATTCATTGTCTAGAACTCTCCCAACCCTGCCAGGTATAACTACCCCACTGTGCAGATGAGGAAACTGAGGCTCAGAGAGGCGAGATAACTTGCCGAAGGTCACCGAGTAGTAAGTGAGGGAGCGAGGTTTGAAATACAGGTAGGTCTGCTCTGAAAGGCACGCTCTTCCCACCCCCCACGGGGCCTGCAGAAGGTGCTGGAGGGCGCCCCTAAGACAGGCGCAAAGGGCACGGCTGTCTTCTGCTGCTCCCATCAGTGGACAGCATGTCACCTGCGGCCGGCGACACACGGCATTTGGAGGTGGCCCAAAGCCCAAGCTGAGCCTTTGGCCCAGCGCCCCCACCCAGCCCCGCCCTGCTTGTGGCAGGAGAAGCAATGAGCAGAAACAGAATTTTCCTGGCCGAAAGCGCCTCCTCCTTCCTCAGCAGAGACTGAGGGGTCCCTGGGTGGGCACTGCAGTGGCTCAGCTCCGTCCCTTCTTGAGCCCTGGGAGTGGCAAAGTAGGAGGGGAGCTCCCCAAGTGTCAGGGAGAGGACAGTGTATGTCCCAGGGGAGGCGTCAAGACCACAAGGCGGACTCATTCATAGCTTTAGGACCCTTTAGTATTTTAGATTTATTTGTGGGGCCCAGAAATTGGTGCTACTTAAGCTCATAGTTGGAAACATCTGTTAAATTTTGATTAGATTCCACTTAAAGAGAAACTTTCAAAACGTTGTAGATAAAGGAACTTGTGCTTAAAATTGAAGGCAGAAAAAAAAAATAATCCTATACCCTATTTTAACTTCCAAAACAGTAGGGGACAAATAACTGTGACCTGACAGCCTACCACAATGTTTCCTGAAATAACTTTTTATTGAATTCTGGTCCGCTGGGTGTTAAGAGGTGTGTCCAGGAAAGAAAGAGTTCCATGGCCCAATGAGTTTGGGAAAAAAACAGGCTAAACAGAGTTTTAAAAGTTTTGCTGCTGCGGGACTTGTCAGAGCCTTTAAACTGGGTGTTAAGAGGTGTGTCCAGGAAAGAAAGAGTTCCATGGCCCAATGAGTTTGGGAAAAAACAGGCTAAACAGAGTTTTAAAAGTTTTGCTGCTGCGGGACTTGTCAGAGCCTTTAATGTCCTAATGCACGTTGTGACCCTCTGAGAAGGTCGCATAGGGTGGACTGTGCAAATCTGTTTGATCTCACCTGCTAATATCTCCTGAAAGAGGCTTCCTTAGGACTTCCCCAATTTGGGAAATGCTGATCTAGCAGATGTGTTTGTTGTGACATGATGATGCTGGTTGATTTGGGCAAAGGAAGGAATGTGTCGGTCACATCCAGCCAGGGATCTTATTGAAGTGCAGATCCCTGGGTACAACTCTAGACTGACAGACCCAGTCTCCAGGTGGGCCTGGGATCTATATTTTAGCAACCTCTCCAGGTGATCCTGCTGCACAGTAAAGTCCAAAAACCTGTGGGCTAGGTAATCAATACTGCTCACAGATAATCAGTACTGTAGAAATCCAGTCTACAATAGCCAGAGAGAAGCTCCAAGATGCCCCGTTCTCCTTGGGGCAGGGGGAATATGATACTAAAACCAAAGAAGAAAATCTATAATCAATTTTCAAGGATGAATAGAAGGCAAGGGGTGAGTCTCGAGAGGTGATGCTGGCAGACAGTTCAGTGGGCTGCTGTCACCAGGGCTGTAGCCTCCCAAACACAAAAGTCGTCAGTGGTCAGGTCCTCACATCTAGATGTTATCTGTGCAGTGTTTGATGGGAACTAGTTTGTAGTGAATTTAGACAGGGCTGGGTCAGGGGTGGGGCCATCTGAGAGCGCTGGTGACTGAAGCCCCCACTAGTGAAGGACAGGTCTGGGGAGTGAACGGAGGACGAAGACACCCCCTCCAGGCTCACCTGTACGGAGTCGGGGTGGGGTGGTCAGCATGAGACAGCCAGGAAGGTGGGCGTCAGCACCGCTGGCAAACTGGCAATATGGGGTGGGGGATCAGAAGCAGCTCTAGTCAGTACCCCAGGCCCTCGAGGGTGAGCAGGAACCTCACAAGAAACCAAGGCCATGCCTGGCCACAGAGTGGAAACAACTCACCCGCCCTGATCCTTGGATTCTGCAGGAGGCCAGAGCCCAGCAGAGCTGTCCCCATCCATGGCCCTGAGGCTTTTAAAATGCACCGCCATGGAGTGGGCTTGGCCCCAGCGGGGTGGGGTTGACCCTGGCAGAGACAGGAGGGAGTCAGTGGGTGGGGAGTCTCACTGTCTCCCTTCCCTAGACAACCCCTGTATCAACGTGTACCCGTAACAGTCTCTGCTGTGTCCCCTCTGCATGTCCGCACCCTCGGCCAGCCTGCTGCCCCCTCTTGCCAGGCTGCTCCGAGCAATGATCCCAGTGTGCTGTGTTGACACTAACAAGACCTAGCAGATTCAAGGGAAAAGAAAATCAATGGGGTTTGCACCAAACCCAACTAAACAAAACACGTACTGATCCTGGAGAAAGCCAGCGGAACTACAGCTGGCCTTTTCCTGTGAACCGTGAAAATGGGGCGTAACGCATTCTCGTTTTATATTTTATTAGCTCGCATGGTCAGTAAAGGCAAAGATGGGACTGGAAGCGATGACAAAAAAACAAAGGTAAGCTGACAATACCACGAAACTCTGGTGCCGATCAAGTCCATTGAGAAGCTCTGCTTTGTGTCTGATACACAGATTCTCATATATAACCTGTAGGGCGCCTTTGCCACCAGAGTCCAACTGCCATTTAAGGTGCCTTGTGATTTTGTGCAAGCTTTCACAAAGGCCAGCATTTATTCGTTTTGATACTTTTGCCGGTTCGTGAATTAATGTTCCTAATTGCATTTTCCTTAGCATGGTTTAAATGAGACTGAGAGTGAATAAAGGTATGTTTGAATTTTCTGCGATAAAGTCTGAATTCTGCACATCTAACACTTGCCAGTACAGATGTAGGTTCAACAAATGTATGTATTTAAGATATGTAGATACGTTAGGGGGCTGAGAGAACGTTGAGGAAGGAAGGGGTCTCCTACCTAAGGGGGGTGCATTCTTTTTTTTTTTTTTTTGTCTTTTTTCATGTCCGGCAACGGATCGCAACCCTCAGTGTCGCGCCCGTACCAGACCGGGACCGGCAACGGGATCGCAACCCTCGGTGTTGCGCCCGCACCTCGCTCAGCCAGTGAGCGGCCGGTCTGTATGTGGGATCCGAACCCTCGGCGGGAGCGCCGCCACACTCCCAAGCGGCGCACTGTAGCAGTGCGCCACCGGGCTGGCCCAGGGGGGTGCATTCTGAGAAAGCCCTGGCAGAGAAGAGCTGTCGGGCAGCTGTGAAGGAAGTGGAATGAGGGCTGGGAAGGGCAGGCCAGGGAGGGGAAGGGCACAGGCGAAGGCCTGGGAGAAGTGTAGGGGCAGGGAGTGGATTGGCTCATTGCTGCAGAGCTCCAGGTAGGGCTTACATGGCTGGAAGCAGATTGGAGGAGAGAAACTTAAATGCCAAGTAGAGAAGTGTGGCTGTGGTACAATAGACACCAGCTTGAAATCTTGCCAGAGCAACCATTTGGGGGATGCCCTAGTCAGTCTGCAGAAACCACCCAAGCAACAATAAATGAAGCAGCCTGCTCGCCTCAGAAACTGCATCCAGAACCCGCCCGTCCTCCTCAGCCTTCCGTATCGTTATAGGTTACTCAGTCCATTTTTCATCTTCTCTTTTAGAAGTCGTGTCATATGTAAGTTTAATAATACATCATATATCGGCAGTGTCGTCTATGTACTTAACTGATAAATAGCTCTGCAGTTAGGGAGCACGGGCACTTTCCCGTTCCGACTGCTCAGAAGGGCCGATAAGTGTGTATGGTCCAGTTTGGAGATCACTGCTTTAAATCATTACCTGCCTTATTTATTTTTAGTTACTGTCCTTTTTTCAGTTTGTTTTCCTCTCCCATATGCTGACTTTTATTTTGATTTTATTTATGTTTGTGTTTAAGACATCCACACCTTCCTCTGCTAAAACCCTGAAAAATAGGCCTTGCCTTAGCCCCAAACGCCCCACTCCTGGTAGCTCAGACCCTTTGATCAAACCCTCCAGCCCTGCCGTGTGCCCAGAGCCATCCTCCTCTCCTAAACACGTCTCTTCTGTCACACCCCGAACTGGCAGTTCTGGAGCAAAGGAGATGAAACTCAAGGTAAGGAAACACCTTTGAAAAGAACCAGGCTGCTCTAATGTGGTTTTCAAATGTACGTCTTTAGCCTCAAAGGCCTTTCTTCAGATGAGCTCGGAAACAGAAGCAGCATGTGGAATAGTTAGAATTCTGGTTGAAGAGGGGAGAGGGGATCAGAGCCATACTCCTCAGCAGCCCTCAGCCCCCCATTGCAGCAGCACCTAAGGCATCTGAAGGGACCCTTGTTTGAACACCACCACTCTAATCGGGTTCCTTTGTCCATTCCTGACTTTGGTCACTGGAAATGCTCCAGATTGCCCTCATTTGGGTTGGATAGCATCTCTGTGCAGTGACACCTGCTCATGAGTTCACTCCCTCCTGAACTGTCTCGTGGACCTTGGTTCATGTCAGGTTCTTTTTTGCGTTTGTGTTATGTCTAAAGGTCATCTACTGGGTAACCAAGCCCAGTAAATGCCCAGGATCAGCAGACTGCACTTGGGTCAGCACTTGCTCCCAGCTTCTGGCTGGTTTGTTAATGGATGCTGGTGTTCACCCCACCCGGGACTCTTAGCTCACCTGAAGAGTTACTGAGACCTAAGGGTTGTTTAGGAGAGGACAAAAGAATATGTCCTAGCTCTGTTTAGTGTTCTTGGTCAGGTTAACAAACGGTGTCTCCAAGGGCCTCTAGTGAAACCAACCACCATCCAACAAATAAATCCCTAATTAGAGTCAAAAAATGGGTGTCTGCATAGGCATGGTGTGCTGATATCCTGCCCCTTGCTCAGCACTGAGTGGACAGTGACCCTGATCGTTGCTATAATCTCTGTTGCCTTTCTATAACGTTAGCATACGTTAGCACAAGTCATGCCGATAGCCAATGTAAACAGTTCCTCTGGGAGAAATGATATTGGGTCTCTTGGCGTTTGGGTGGGGCTGTGGATTTGTGTGCCCAGCAAACCCTATCGATTGTAGAAGATATTTGTTGCATCGAGTAGGCAAAGGGTCACCCTGATCTTAGCAGCACTTTGAGTCAAGGTGGTGGATTGGGGTTGACATTGTCTCTTATAGTCTTTCCCAATGGTGAAAAGCACTCTACCCTGATTCGGTTTACAGGGGGCTGGAACGAAGATCGCCACACCCCGGGGAGCAGCCCCTCCAGGCCAGAAAGGCCAGGCCAATGCCACCAGGATTCCAGCAAAAACCACACCTTCCCCAAAGACACCACCCAGCACTGGTAAGAAGAATATTCTCATGAATCCCAGTCTGAGGAAGCTCTCAGAAGACACAGCCCTCATCCCAGGAAGCCTTGGGCAATTCATACCCGTGGTAGCAGCTGATCAAGGCCTTGCAGCCTACTGAGCACTGGAATGTTCGTTTTCTTTTTAATGCTTTTGACAGTTTCCTGAGGTAGATAGTGAATCCCCACTTTTTATCAGTGAAGAGATCGTAGCTCATAGAATTTGCTAACTGGCTCATGTTAAGCATGAGGAAAATGCAGTCAGATGACTAGGGGGCAGGTAAGGGGCTTCTCTGAGCTTCTCTGGCCTCAAATCCAGGATTCCGAGGAGGCAGCCCCAACATGAGGTGTTCCTAGCCCCCAAATGAAATGCACGGTGCTGCCTCTCAGGAGACAGAGCAGCAGCCTGGGTAGGTCACTGTGGGTGACCTCACACAGACTCAGCCCTTGGCAGCTTGACTTGCTGGGAATGTTAGGAATCTTCTGGCAAAATCTGAGGGTCTTAGCTAAGCTGTCACATGCTGTGCCTATCCCCCTGGGCTCCTGTGAGTAAAACCCAGTTGGTTTTGAGTACCCGGCAAGGCTCCAGTGGAGCTATTTGGTGCCCAGTGGTACTGTCAGGCATAGTGGCCCTCTTTGGAAATTTGGGACAGCCTGGCTGGGCCTTTCCCCTCCCACTGCCCTGGTGACCTGTTCCAGGCAATGAGTTTCAATTTTGCAGGACTCAGGGGCGTCAGGCCTGGTTGGCTCCTTGGTAGTTCACGTGTCATCTGGGGCATTTTTTTTCTGTGGCATTTTGCCCACGTGGGCTGTAGGGTGGCACCCACAAGAACCTTCTCATGAAGGCCTGTTGGTTTTGTCTTTTCACCTCGTGTTTCCTCACATATGTACAATCTAGGGGTAATTAACAGAATTTTGATGGATTTTATATACATTTTGATCCTGTTTTTTTTTCACTTAACATTATGCCAGTTGACCGACACTTTGTAACAACTTGACACAATGACATGCATTTCTGTCTGGACCTTACGTGCTCTTGGATGGCTGCCCGCAGGTGGACAGATCTCCTCCCTTGGGCCCCCTTGACCTTGTTTCCTGCCAGAACAGGATCCCCGCTCCCCGAACCTGTTCCCTGTCTCCCTCTGTACGCCGCATGGACCAGCCGTGGTGCCTGCTGCGTGAAGAACTCATTAAGGCCCCATTGAAGCCTGATTATAATGAGGCTTTCTGTGGATTTTTCTTTTTAAGCTCCCAAGCAAGTGCAAAGAAAACCACCCCCTGCAGGGGCAAACTCTGAGAGAGGTAATTCTGAGCCTGCTGTGCCGTGGCAGACTCCCCTGGCGTGTGTGGCTGCTCAGTGGCTGTGTGGCTGTGCCTGCAGCCAGCAGGACGCGCTTCTGAGATGCAGGCTTCACACACTGGGTCTGAAGATGGAACAGCCCAAGTCCTGTTTTTCTTCTTGTGTGTGGTTTGCGCAGATACATCCGTCTGGCGGACTTTCTAACCCTGTGTGTTTGCATTTATTTCAGGGACGAGGGCGTGGCTGTGGCTGTGGGATGTGGGTGGGGAGTGTGTGCCTCGAGACATTTGGGGATGCTGGAGGTTTGGATGGTCCTTAACCAAGCTTTAGGTGGGAAATTCCCACTGGCGTTTATTAAACGCCCACTCTGAGCATGCGACGCTGCGCTGGACACTTTGCCTGTCACTACCCTCTATCTTCAAAGTGGGCCCTGATCCCTCTCCCCATTTTTTAGCAGACAGGACAGCAAACTACTGAAGTGTAGTGGGGACGCAGGAGGTGCAGGAACAGAAGCACGTGTCGGGGTCAGCGATGCCCGGGGGAGGGAGGGGCTGAGTCTGTTGGGAGAGAAGAGGCGAGGAGTGATCTTGGCGCCTTCCTGGAGGGTTTGGGCTGCGTGTGTCTGGAAGGGTGCGAGGTATTTGCCAAGCACCAGGCAGGCGTTCGTGGGCAGGGCGCAGTGGTTGGAAGCGGCATGGCTTGTTTGAAGAGCTGGGGACAGGCAGACATGGAGCAGCTCCACAGAGGAGTTGGGAGCACAGACAGGAGCCCTGAGGGGCTGGACAGCTTAGAATTCACCCCGTGGGAAAAGGGTCAGCTGGGTCCCGGCTGAGGGTGGCAGCGGCATGGCTTGTTTGAAGAGCTGGGGACAGGCAGACATGGAGCAGCTCCACAGAGGAGTTGGGAGCACAGACAGGAGCCCTGAGGGGTTGGACAGCTTAGAATTCACCCCGTGGGAAAAGGGTCAGCTGGGTCCCGGCTGAGGGTGGCAGCTGGGTTCTGTCACCGCGTCTCCCTCTTCAGGGCAGGGGCCACTCAGATGGCATGTGAGTTTTGCATATTTACACACACCCCACACCGCAGCCTAGAGCCTCCCTCCCTGCAGACATTGTGGTTATTTCCATTTTAAGTCGAGGCCTCTGAGCTCAGAGAGGGGAAGTGACTTGTCTGAGGACACACAGATAGTTGGAGCCCATCTCTCACTAGGACTGTGGGGCAGAGTTGGTCCCGTCTCTGGGAGGTGGGATCGGGTGGCCCTTGATGACCAGTCTGTTGCTTTCCTGGGAAATGGGGTGTCTCTGTCCCTAAGCAACAAGGCAGGGGGGAGGGGCTGCTTCTCCAGAAATGAGCTCAGGGGCTTCCGCCTGCGGGTGGAGCGAGCTT